TTTTCTTAGTCCAATGATGATTAATGGAGACAATACCTGTTCAATACAAATTGCCATCAATCTTGTCTTGCACGATCGGACTAAGCACATTGAAGTGCATTTTCACTACATTCGAAAACTTGTAGCAGAAGGGACAGTTCAGCTTCGGTACTTAAGAACATATGAGCAGTCGACATATGTGTTGACAAATGTTGTATCATCGAGTAGGCACTGGTATCTTTCTTCCAACATCAATTTGAGGGAGGGTGTTAATTATATGAGGAGTTTATTGTAAATAACCTTCGTATAGGTTATGTAGCTAGGGCTTGGTGTGAGCAAACCTATATAAACTATTGTGCCTGTACTAAAGAAGTTAAGTCGAATAATAAAACTAAAACCTGAGAGGGAGATTCTCTCCGTGGACTAGTGTCTAATGACGATACCACGTTAAAAAAGTCTGTGTTATTTTGATTTGTTTAGCTAAATTGACGGGTGAAAGCTAAGTAAATTATAGTTCTGATTTGGAACATGCGAGGGATCAATAACCCTACAAGCATGAATCCATAGTTGAAATGTCGAAGATTGAAGGTTGATATAGTGGGTATCTTAGAGACTAGAGTATGGAAAGAAAATGTAAAGAATATTTTACAGGAGCATTTCAGAGAATGGCAGTTTTTTTTTATATGAATCTGTGCACAGAATGGGAGTTTAGTGACCCATATTTTGCTACTTAGGGGTTAGAATTTGGGTATTGTGAAAAAAAAAATTGAAATTTAATGTTTGAAAAGAAATGAGCAATTTTTACATGGCAAGGTGACAGAAAGTCAAGAGATTCAACTGAATTCTATATATGCTTCAAATCAAGCTGCCAGCAGAGTCAAAATGTACAGACAACTACAACAATGACCAATGTAAATGAAGCTTCAAATCATATGGTTTTAGGGGATAGCTCTCATCAATTCTGCAAATGGATAAGTGCCATGTAACGTTTTTTTTATGAAGATAAATGACATGCAACTTGAAGATTAGAAAGTGCTAGGTCCATGGTTCACTTGGACAAATAAACAAGAAGGGAATCCAATTGCAAAAGGATCGAGATCTATTAAGGGATGAAAATCAATTTAGTATTGATTTTGTAACTTTGATTAGACAATTCCGCAGTTAGCTTCAAATCAGGTGGTTTTAGGGGATAGCTCATCAATTCTACAAATGGATAATATGACATTCAACTTGAAGATCAGAAAGTGGTAGGTACTTGGTTCACTTGGACAAATAAACAAGAAGGGAATCCAATTTCAAAAGTAAAACATACCTCAACTGTTAATTCGAAGTACGTACTGAAAGCAACATACTCAAAATAACATCAACGAACATATTCAAAGTACTTAAAACAAAGTAAACCATGAATCAAAGTACTTGAAGATATCATAGGTCGAGGCTATATACATCATCAAATGGATTATCGTTGTATACTCTCAGAATTAGCTGGAGGCGCCTGGCAAAACTGAGAAATCGGGAAATCCAAGCACGAACACGTGAAGTAATTTTCTCCACCAGCTTCTGACAATACAAAGAACCCATTTTGCCTGTAATAAAATGGACCCCCCCCCCCCCAAGATACATGACGGGCCAAGAACCAATGGGGAAGCCAGTTACCTGAGAGATAACGGTCTGCCTCCTCCACCGAGATACATGCACAGAATAAGCGGCACTTGACCATATTACATTGAACTCCATAAATGGTATATAACTTATCTTAGAGTCTCTTAATACATGCTACTTCTCGAATGGAACCATTTGCAAAGAGGAGAAGATCGTCTACGAAGCAAAGATGGGTAATCTCCAGAGCTTTACAATGCCGATGGTAAGGAATTTTCTCCTGTTGAACATCTCGTGCAAGTAGACAAGAAAAGCCTTCCATAGGTACTGTGAACAAGTAAGGAGATAAGGGGTCTCCTACTCGGAGCCCCTTCCACATAGAGAAATAGCCATTTTGGTACCATTAAAGGCAACACTTAGCATCAGAGTAGTCACACAAGCTTTGACCAATTTAAGAAACTTAGCGAGAAAACCCATATACCCTTCAACACTTGAACATAAATCCCCAATCAACAAAGTCGAAAGCTTTCTTCAAATCAACTTTTAAAACACACCGATGGGTAATATTTTTCTTGTGATAATCCTTTACTAACTCAGTGGCCACAAGTATATTGTCACTGATAGAATGACATTTGACGAAAGCATATTGAGACTTCCCAATAACTTTATTCAACACACTGGAAAGGCCTGCAACCCCCCCCCCCCTCCCCCCTCCTACAAAAGTAGCAAGACCACTGATCCCACCTCTTAGTGTCTTCATCCTTAACTTCTGCGTCTCTAATATCTTTATATGACCTTTACACTTATGCTAAATTCGCCCCTAAAAACCAGCAAGGGGGCTACCACTAGATGCAATAAAACCTGTCCTAAATGTCCCTTCGCACTTCTCCCTTCGGTCGAACATATGATAAACTTTCGGGCTCATATATACCCTTCCTCTTCTTTCAGTCGAGCAACTTCGTTCCTTCATGCTAGAAACTAACAGCTTGGATATACCCTTATAAATCACGTTACAACAAGAAATGAGACAAAAATCACTCATCCTATCAATATTAGGGACTTATGAAATAAGGGAGAAAATAGTGGAATTCACATAATTAGGCATTTGACCAGTCTGCAAAAACTCTATCACAGCATTCACTACATCTTCCCCAACAGTAGCCCAATCAGCTTGATAGAAATAGTAGAGAAATCATCTTAACCCAACACTTTTGTTCTTCCTCATGCTTTTGAATACTCTATGAATTTCTTCACTAGTAACCGAATCAACAACAAGTCATGGTCATCTTCATAAAGCTTATAGTATAGCAACTGCTCATAAAATGAATAAGGATGCTGATCAGTAGACAGATCAGGACACCCCAACAACCCTTCATAGAAGGAAACAACCACCTCACACATTTTCTTTAACTATGTTACCTTTTGTCCATCGTCGGTTACTAGTTGAGTAATGTTCTGTTTATGAGTTCTAGCCTTTACTGCTCCATGGAAGAATTTAGTGTTACAGTCCCCTTCAGAAACCACCATACACATGATTTTTGCCTGAAAAACTGTCCTCAACTTTCTACAACTGCTGGCATAGATTGGACAATTATGATTCTCTATGTACAAGCTTTTCAATTGGATTGGCTAACACCTCTTTTGAATGTCCTCTAGCTGTATCTCAGCTTCTCTAACCCTTTCAAAGATCTTCGAGCAATATGACCGATTTAGCTCTTTAAATTTAACTTTAAGAACCTTCAATTTGCCATAAAGAACCTTAAACTTCACTCCCACCACCTTTGTCTCCCATGTTTCCTCTAGTAAAGCAAAAAAGTTAGCATGAAGCCGTCAAAATTTGAAAAACTTAAATGGCTTAGGCAAAGAAGCTGGTGCATGAGAAGAATCCATTAGCATTCCACAGTGATCATAAACCGTAGAGCCAGGGTACGACCCACACTATGAGAATGTTTAGTCAACCATTCAAAATTAACCAAAAACCTATCTGATACATATGTGTTGTTTTAAATAAATACCTAAATTTATAAACAAACAAAACATTTAGGGGTTGTTTGCTTCAAGGATTTGGTACATGGATTTGGTACCAAAAAACCAACTATCAAGGATTTAGGTACAATCCGTTGTTTGCTTGCATATTTTTTGGAGACCAAATCCGTGGGGCCCACGGATTTTAAGGGTCCAAATCCGTGGACCCCACGGACTTATAAATCCCACATGTTGATGTGGGATTTGGAATATGACATAAATCCTTGATGACATTTTACCCATATACCCTCATGCACTTTTAATATTCCAAGGTTGCCCTCAAATTTAACTATTATACATTATAATTAACAATAAATGAATAATATAAACGTTCAATTAATGTGCAAACATGAGTTAGATTTTTTATATAATTTGTTGTGTTCTAGTTTTCTTTGACCTTTTCATGGAACGTGTAAATGTCTGTTCTCCCGATTCTGATATATGTTGTTATATGTTACTTTTGAAAAGGAGGACAAAGAATTGGTAATTGATTATCTTACGTTAAAAGTTAAAACGGAATTTTCTCGTTTATTATTATTGTCCATGTGGCAACATTATGCTTATTAGTATGTATTGTCCTTGTTTTGTGTACATATCATAAACATGTCAAACATATAGAAAATGATAGTAAGGTAATTTTGAAGTTTTGTCCTTGTTTTGTGTACATATCATAAACATGTCAAACATATAGAAAAGGGCAGTAATGTAATTTTTGACTTCAAGTAGTAAATCCCACATCTTTAAATTCATGATAAAAACATCCCAACAAACAAAGGATTGTTACAAATCCATGATGCATCAAATCCTTGATAAATCCTTAGGTTTTTAAATTACAAAACCCTCGTTTATAAATCCATGAAGCAAACGACCCCTTAATCCAAATCCTACCTAATAAATAAGTTTTCGAACAAACTCAATAACACATTCCCATCCAAACAACCCCTAACTCCTTTTGCCCCACCACTATTGATGATCTCAACAATCTTGTTTGACCAGAGTCCAAAGTTATATGTTCACAATTAACAAAACGGGAAAATTAATAGAATATAAAGAAAGAAAGCTCCCTCACGTAAAATAATAATAATAATGGAAAAAATCAAAGAATGACTTCTAAAAAATCCCACTTCTCCATTGGTCTATCGTCCTCCATTCAATTATTTTGGCGGTTACGTGTTGTCTCAAATGATGATTTATTTTATTTACTATCTTCACGTACGTTCACGACCCGCAAATTCTCCTCTTTTGACCCGCCAAATTAAAACGAAAAAAACAATAAAAAAAAACAGAAACTAAAACCACCCAATGAACAAAGACCGAACCCCCCAAAATCGGAATTCAGCTCTTCTTTCTCCCTATCCTATATATATTCAACGTCAGCCGATTTCTCTTACCAAAGCCTTCATTTCTCCCTTTCCCACATCTCTTCTCCTCCTTCTCCCAATGGATGACGACGAAGTGGAGATTCCCAAGTTCTTCCTCTGCCCAATCTCCCTCGAAATCATGAAGGACCCAGTCACCGCAATCACCGGCATCACCTACGACCGCGACAGCATCGAGCACTGGATCTTCACTGGCCGGAACACCACCTGTCCGGTCACAAAACAGCCCCTCCCCGCCGGCTCCGACCTCACCCCCAACCACACCCTCCGCCGCCTCATCCAGTCGTGGTGTACCTGCCGCGGCATCGACCGGATCCCCACTCCCAAGCCCCTCCTCGACCGCTTCCACGTCATCAAGCTCCTCCGCCGCCTCCCTTCCGACCGCCTCCTCGTCCTCCGTTGCCTCGAGACCCTCGCCTCCGAGCACGACCGCAACCGCAGGCACCTCGTCGACGCCGGCGTCCCCGGGGCCATGGTCGGCATCCTCCTCGAATCCTTCGACCGGCGGGAACCGCACGCCCCTGGACTGCACGAGGCGGTCCGGGTGCTCCACCTGGTCCGGGCCGGCCCGGTCGAGATGAAGCTGACACTGCAGCAACATCACCAGATAGACCGAATCGTCCAGGCGCTGACGTGGCTGTTGGAATTTTCCAACAATCACGTCACCTACAATGCAGTCTCAGTGATGAGACTGCTTTTTGAAGAAACGTGCTCTAGCAGCAGCAGTAATAATAATATTGCGACGGAGCGGCTGTGCCCCGACTTCTTCGAGAAGATTGTGGGGTTCCTGAGAGCGGCACGAGCTGCTGCTGCCGATCACGATGATCATGATCACGGTCATCGCGATCGGCAGCAGGCGGTCAACTCAGCCTTGACAGTGATGTTGAGGGTTTCCCCTCTGGGGAAGAACCGAGTGGCGATGGTGGAGTCTGGCGCGGTGTTCGAGCTCGTGGAGCTCGAGCTGGCCGCGGCGGGGTCGCTGACGGAGAGCAGGAGGACGACGGAGCTGGTGCTCGGGGTCCTGTTCAACCTGTGCTGCTGCGCGGAAGGGAGGGCGGAGTTCCTGAGGCACAGGGCGGGGGTGGCAGTGGTGGCGAAGAGGCTGATGAAGGCGTCGTCCCCGGCGGCGGACGAGAGGGCGGTGATGATACTGTCGTCGGTGTGCAAGTTCTCCGGGACGAATGCGGTGCTGCAGGAGCTGCTGAGCGTGAAGGCGGTGGCGAAGCTGTGCGTGGTGCTGCAGTCGGACGCGGCGGCGCATCTGAAGGAGAAGGTGGCCGAGATCTTGAGGCTCTACTCCGGCGAGGAGTGGAAGAGCAATCCTTGCATGGACACGTGTCTCTTGTCCAGGTATCAGTATCAGAGTTAGTTTATAGTTACGGCAACTGTAAATATATATGTGTACACACTACTACTGCTACTACCGTTTTGTCGTTTGGAGAGGAATCGTGTACGAGATGGGTACGAAATGGTTGCTTTTGGTCGTTAAATAACCACACCGCTTTATACAGTAATATATGATCCATGAAATGAAAGTGATTAAGGAAATGTGATATATGCCACTTATAGTTTGAGCAATTTTAAGCCACAGAGTGATTGTATATCACCAATTATAGGTTGATCATCATTCAAGAATGATGAACTAGTTAATTTTAATTTTCTCAAACACAAAGTGAATTTTCACCCCTGTATCTCGAGGTACGAGGTTCAAGTTAATTAGATACACGTTGTCTCGTAATCAATATGTTATTGATGTTTGTACATTGGATTGGAACACTCTCAAGCAAGTAGGTACAATACTTCTCCACTCCATTCATTTTAGGCTAAAATTTGATGAAATTCAGTGTACATGTGTCAAAATAGCATCACCGTAAAGGAAGGAGACGAGATTTTCGTGGTATTCTCAACAAACATTGTTGAGACTCATCCACAGAGAGATAGTCTCAAAGTCTGTATTATCTATCATAGAAGTTGACCATCTACAATGCAGCACCCCTGACCCTCAACTCTAGCTCGTATATTGTAATTAACCACATTGTTATTCTCAACAAAGATTATAGAAGGGATGTTTAGAAGGCGGGCAAGTTCAGGAACAGGGATGGTAACCAGATGACCATAGACAACAGTTGAAATATGCGACTGTGGAAACCAAAGGAGCGCAGATTTGAATAAAAGTAACGGACAAGCTCAGGGCAAATCAAAGAGGGAGGATGGACTAACAGAAAGTCCCAGCCAAGATTGTGAATGAAACCCCTAACATCAATGCCATAATCCACAAAGTCAGGAAGATGGACACGAATGGGGGTGGCAATGGGTCGATTCTCATATAAGAGACTATGACGAAGGCGACTAAGAGACACAGGATCAGAGCAGAGAGAGCCAGTGTAAGTGCAAGCTAGCACACGATTCATGGCTGAAGACAAAGATAATAAAAAAAAGTCACAAGACATAAAGAAAAAATTACAAGCACACGCAATATAAAGAACACAGAAGCGACTAAGAACGGGAAAGCGAATCGTCACTACACAGGGATCCCTAAAAATTAGAACACACACAAGGAAAGAAAAAATCGTCACAAGACGGCAAAGGTAAGAAAAACAAAAGGAAAGACAGAGAGCAAAACAGAGAAGCTTATCAGCAAGAAGATCAGAGAGATAATCTAAAGACCGCAACCCAATTTCATAGCACAGAAAAACGAACCGGTCAGAAGACAAAGGTTTGGTAAATAGATCAGCTAACTGAAACTCAGTTGAGATATAGTTAAGAGAGACAACCTGTTTTTGAACAAGCTCACGGATAAAATGATACTTTATCTCGAATGCTTAGTCCTAGAGTGCTGGACAGGATTTTTTGTCATACAGATAGTGCTAGTGTTATTACAGAACAAGGGTATATTAGCACAATGTAAACCATAATCGTGTAACTGATATTTCAACCACAACAGTTGAGTACAGCATCCTCCAGCAGCTATATACTCTGCCTCAGCTGTGGAGAGAGCTACAGCCCCTTGTTTTTTGCAAGACCAAGAGACTAAGGAAGTTCCAACTAGTTGACAGGCTCCACTTGTGCTTTTGCAATCAGTAAGACTTCCAGTGAAGTCAGAATCACTATAGCCAAGCAGGTCAAAACTGTCATGCTTAGGATACCACAGACCAACAGTTGAAATTCCTTTTAAGTAACGAAAAATGCATTTCACTACTGCAAGGTGACTAGCTTTAGGAGTTGCCTGAAACCTTGCACACAAACACACACTGTACTAAATATCAGGGCGACTGGTTGTCAAGTAAAGAAGAGAGCCAATCATTCCCCGAAACAGTTTTTCATCCACAGGTAAACCATTTTCTGATTTTCATCTTTGTCCAAATTAAGATTCACAGCCATGGGAGTGGGGTTGGAATTAATGTTGGAGAGATGAAACTTTTGCAACATGGTATGAATATATTTAAATTGACTAATGAAGATACCATGTGAGGTTTGTTTGAACGGAAGTCCTAAGAAAAATTGAAGCCCACCCATCCTCCTCATCTCAAAAACAGATTTCATAGCTTCACAGAACTTAGTGCACATTGAGGAATCAGTAGAACCAAACACAATGTCATCGACATAGACCTGGATAATAAGAAAATGATTACCTGAGGTCTTAGTGAACAACGTTTGATCCACAGATCCTTGAGTGAACCCCTGATCCTTAAGAAAAGTAGTCAAGCGATCAAACCAAGCTCTGGGAGCTTGTTTAAGCCCATAGAGAGCTTTGTTCAGCTTGTACACATAGTCAGAATGCTCAAAATAAAATAAAAAAAACCCAGGGGTTGTGACACATAAACTTCTTCTAGAATGTCTCCATTCATGAAGGTACTTTTCACGTCCATTTGAAATAGAGGAAAGTTCATATGAAAAGCAAAAGCACACAAAAGTCTTATTGACTCTAAACGAGGTACAGGGGCAAAATTTTCGTCATAGTCTATGCCCTCCTCTTGATAGTATCCTTGGGCAACACGACGAGCCTTATTACGAATAATATTACCCTCTTCATCAGACTTATTTCTAAACACCCACTTAGTTCCTATAATAGTCTTTCCTGGAGGTCGTGGCCCAAGATCCCAGACCTTTAAATATTCGAATTGAGCCAACTCTTCTAACATGGCATAAGCCCATTCCTCATTATGAAAGGCTTCTTTATAGGACTTAGGTTCTACTTGAGAGACATAAGCATGCTGACCTGGAGTGTATTTACCTCGAGTGCGCAGCCCATCTGTTATGTTGCCAATAACCTGACTTTCTGGATGATGTTTTTGAATATGGGGAGGTGCTCGAACTTCAGCATCTGTCTCATTATGAACTTGCTGTAAAGGTGTTGATGGGGAAGAGAGATCAGTCTGTATTGGTTCTCTACTTTGGAGAGGAGAGGTTGTCTCTGTACGATCCTTATCCCAATTGGTTAGCTCCATCAAGTCTAATATATGAGTTCCTGGCTCATAAAGCTTAGCAGTAGAGTTAGACTCATCAAATATAACGTGAACTGATTCTTCTACCTTTCGAGTTCTTTTATTAAAGATCCTATAAGCTTGCCCTTTCACTGAATACCCTAAGAAGATTGACTCATCTGACTTAGCGTCAAATTTGCCAAGGGTATCTTTGGTGTTAAGGGTAAAGCAGCGACATCCAAAAGGGTGGAAATAGGAAATATTTGGAGTCTTTTGCTTTAATATCTCATAAGGAGTCTTGTTCAGATATTTACGAATCAAAACCCTACTGATAACATGACAAGTAGTGCTGACTGCTTCAGCCCAGAAGTGTTTTGGAAGATCAAAATCTAACAACATGGTTCTGACAGTTTCAATTAAGGTTCGATTCTTCCTCTCCACAATTCCATTTTGCTGTGGAGTGCGGGGATCAGAGAAAGTATGGATAATTCCCATTGAATCACAGAAGTTTGATAACTCATCAGACACAAATTCACCTCCATTGTCACTTTTAATGCACTTGATTTCAGAGTGCAGTTTGACAAAAGAGTGAAATTGTTTAAAAGTCTCATTTTTAGAGGAAATAAAATAAACCCAAGAAAATATGGAGAAGTCATCTACTAGGACAAAAACATAGTTTTTACCCCCTAGACTAGCAATAGTGCTAGGACCTAACAAATCCATGTGAACAAGTTCAAATGGTTTGGTGGTTGCAATGTTTGTCTTAGCTTTGAAGGGTTTTCTGGAATTTTTTCCAGCAGCACAAGCACTACAAAAAAAAAAATCACTACGTTCCTTTTACTCAGGCATTCCTCGGACAAGTTTAGACTTTGACAGAGAGGCAAGTCTCTTTAAGCTAATATGCCCAAGTTTTTGGTGCCACATAGTTTCTTGATGACAAGTTTGGGAGACCAAACATTTCTCATTAAAAGCATTCAAATCGAGAAGATCAATCACATACATATTCCCTACACAATTTTCTATAAAAATCATTTTGTTATCACAAGTTATTTCAACCAGGCAGTGTGAGGTTTCAAAAGTGACCTTATTTCCACTACTGCACAACTGACTAATTGAAAGCAAGTTATGTTTGAGACCATCTACAAGCATAACATTTTTAACAATAGGCATAAGAGACTGACCAATTGTGCCATGTCCCACAATTCTACCTGCACTGTTGTCTCCAAACACAACTTCTCCTAATTTGTAACTAAGAGTAGAAAACATAGATTTATTACCTGTCATTTGGTGAGAACAGCTGCTATCTAGGTACCACTTACTTTCATCTCTATCAGTCTGGTTGATCAGGTATGAATCAGTTCTGTTTTCACAAATCCGATCTGAGCAAGCCTCGATGGCCATATATGCTTCTTCACCTTGTCCTTCTACATCGTCTTCGGACTCATAATCACTCCAGGATGCTGCCATGGCTCTTTCTTTTGCTTTCATCGTCAGAAGACAGTTGGCACGCACATGTCCTATTTTCCCACATTTGTAGCATCCTTGAGGCTCACGATCATCCCTCCTGAAGGTACTTCTCTTCCCTGCGAAACAAATCTTTCAAAAGTGGCATTTTTAACTCGACCAGAGTTCCCAAAATTTCTACCATTTTCACCATATCGATTAGCAAACTCATTTTGTCTAGCATATGAGTCAGGAAATCGGTTATTTGAGTCAAAATAACGGCTAGTAGTTCCAGCAGAATGATTATTTGACTCTTGAAAACGATTTTGTGAATCATATCGACCTCTATTCTCAGCAGCACGTTGCCTTTGATCATTCTTGTGTTTCATCATTCGATGAAACTTCTTACTAACCAGAGCAAGTTCTTTTTCAAAGTCTGAATCGATTTCATTATCTGATTCATATTCAGAGAATTGACTCTTGAAAGCAAGATTTTTCTTATGCCTTTCATTCTCCTTTCCTACTTGCCTGATCACGTGTTCATGACTTAGAAGAGAACCAACTAATTCATCTACAGACATAGTATTAAAATTCCTGGCTTCTTCTATAGCAGTACGTTTAGGTAGCCACTTCTTAGGTAAGGAACGAAGAATTTTCCTGACCATGTCTTTGGAGGGAATAGTTCTACCCAGACCTTTCAATTTGTTAGTCAATCCAGTGAACCTAGAGTACATTTCGTGAATCCCTTCATTGGATAACATATCAAAGGTCTCGTATTCATGCATAAGTAAATCAATACGAGTTTCTTTGATGTTTGACGTACCTTCGTAGGTTGCTTCGAGAATGGCCCAGAGTTCTTGAGAAGTTTCACACTGGTCAACTTTATCAA